CAGAAATGGATCATCGGGTAGCTTCTCCAGAGGCTCCTCGGATCCTTCCGCGTAATAATCAAACATGAGGATCTTCTGCCGAAGATGATCAGAAATGAGCAGGTTTGATAGATTTGTATTCTGCTCTGAATTGAATTGATGTTTCTTCTTTACAGTGAACTTGTGGGATGAATCAGAAAAAATATCATCCAACACCATGACCAGATCTGTTGGTAAATTCATAATTTCAGTCCAAACCTTTCTATGCCACGCCGGGTAGTTCACATTGGGTTCTAGCGAATTTTGTATCATGGACTTCAAGACTTTATTGCAACTGGAAAGGCTACTTTGAGGGATTGACTTTGTCGCTTGCAATGTGGCCTGGAAATTTTTCAGCACTTCCTTTCTTTCCCAAGGCTCAGTCTTTTCCATGGTATAGTCTGTTACATTGATTTCCACCAAAATTAAAGCAGCAAAAAACATTCAGATCGAAATACCTCTCAATGCAGTTGAGATTTTAGCAAGAAAACACTTAATCCGATCTCTTTCGCGAAGCAAGTCAACTTACACACTTTGCTAAAGAATGGTCTATTGTGAAGACCTCTTTTGACACTTTCCAAACAGTCGATTAAAATTTTGGCGCTGTTTTGTTTGATAGTATCAAACTCTCTTTCCGTCGTGCTTTTAATTGCCTCCCAGATTTCCGGATCATCCTGAAGAGGAATGATGTCCTGGGGATATGCGGAAAAATCAACGCGCCTCTTGAGTTCATTCTGCAAGATCTCCTCTTCTTTCAAAATCTTTCTGTTGGAGGTCACCCGACGGCCTTTAGCTTTTCTTGAATTCGAAGCAGCTTTCCTATCGGCTTCTTTCAAAGCTTCCAAGGCAATTTCTTGTAATTCTGAATCTGTGTCAGGTAATCTTCTGCCTTTGAATGCGTCCGACAACTTGCTGCTCCATTTCTTATGATATTTCTTATTTCTCCACACCATCTTTGAACCTTCTTCGACAAGGTAGAGTCTGGTTGTATTTTTTAAATGTTCATTGAGAATTGTTACAAATGTCTTGATCTTTGATTTAATCACAACTGGCAGATTTTGATTGAAAACTGCATTGAGAAGCTCCCACTTGACTTCCTCAAATGTATTGCTATATGTTGATGACATTATATCACAAAGTAGTAAGGCTGTAGATCACATTGATTTCAATAAAAAAATGGGAACAATCACATTTTATTTCTTTTCCAAATTAGATTTACTCACATATCTCATGCAATTGGTCACTTGTGGCACGTGTACCAGGATGTAATATTTGATTTCTCTCCAAAAGACCTATCTGGAAAATCTCTTCCACATAGTTCATCAGTAAACTGGCTTGCCCCCTGATCACTCTGTCCAATTCTGCTTTGGAGGTTGGTTCTGTTGGACCTTTCAATTTGGGAGCATCTTTCAGGCTAAGCTGAGCAGTGATTATTTTTCTTGCCTCATCCTGGCTGAATTGTGTAATTTTTCCAATAATCTTCCAAAGAAACTTGTAGTAATCATATAGATGATCAAAGGGGGCCCCATTCCTAAAAAACTGAATCATTTCTTGGTATGGTTTTATCAAAGGGTGGAAGCTTTCTTTGGAAAAGGTGATATCAAATTTTTCCCAGAGAAGGCTATCATGTGTGATTGGCAAGTGTGCCACATTACGGGCCACTTCAAGCACTGAAATCCCAAAGTAGTACCAGAAAAGAGGAGTATCAAGAAAATTACAAAGCAATTGATTTGAGTATTGAAATCACATACACTCAGTTATCATCATGAAATTCCTTGAGCAATGCTTCAACAAATTGGCCATCGGAATATCCTCAGCTTCAACGTCATATGGACCAGGCAATATTTTCATCATGACATGTGTGAATTCTTCAGGTCCATATTTTACCTGCTCTTGGGAATACACAAATTTTCAAAAGGCTTCCATATTGAATCCTTTTATGTTTGAAACTATAGCTTTGTCTTTCTTCATAGATTCAATCTTTAGCTTTTGGGAGACTGTCACATGCTGAAATATTACCAAACGGGTCACTAGGAAAAAAGAAGGTTCAGAAAATGATGATTTGGGCACTAGATTCAAAATTGTTTTTTTTGTCACACACCAATCTCATGGGCAGCCTTCTGTGCTTTCCTAACTTTATTGAAAATGTGGTAGTTAATGGCAAGCTCCACAGTTTCTTTTGTAAGATTCAGGCTGTCCAGTGATTTCAATTTTGCTTCTTCTTTTTCAATTGATCTCATTGGCTTCTCTTGGATAAAATTATTGTCCCAATATTTGAATAATGCATTGTGTATATCAATCAAACTGTTGTCCGAGCCCGCAGGAAGTTCCACAAATCTTTCCCATGCCTCTTTCAAGTCAATCCTTCCACCACATCCAAATTCCTCTGGAAGTAAATGACCTATGTGTAAACAAAAATCATAATCTCAGGGTTTCATATGATACTGACTGTCCTCAAATAGAATTTGAAAAGGCAACAAACCTATAAAACAACTCAATGATCCAATGCCTTCATTTTTTGGATGTTCAAAATTCAAATCAGAAATTCTGCATTAGAATTTATTACAAAACAGTGCAAATAAGCTTGCCACTTCTCCCTGGGAGCATCAGTAATTGTTGGGTTATGTATGATATATGATCTTCTTTATTCATATGTTGGGGGTTCTTTTTTGCAATCTTTGGAGCTGGAATCTTTAGTTTTTCATAGACACCTTGGACTGATATTCCAGGATGAAAATTCCATGAGGTTGACAATACTTTTCATCAGCTGAACCTGGTTAGAGGCAAGAAAATCAATAATTTTCTTCACTTGAGAGCTTACACATTTCCTTGACACTTGGTTCCCTGATGAGAAATCCACCAGAGCAGAAACAGCCACAAATTAGGACCAGGTACAACAAGCAACTTAAGTAATTCATCTTTGACTTTGATGCAAATTTTCAATCCAGAAACGTGAAGGAGTTGAGAGGAAAGACAGCAGGGAGCAGTTTCAAATTATCTGGTTGTTTGATGAAAAAAATTCCCCCCCCCCCCTTTGATTTATGGGACTGATACAACTTTACTGCATAGAGATCAGTAGTACACTTATGAATTTTCAAACATGTCAGATAATCATAATTCTGAAACCATCATTATCAAGGTGTTGAAACACTTGATGGATCACAAACAGCGGTATAATTATATTATGAAACCAGTGTTTTTTTTACTCCTGGTGAAAATCATTACTAATTTAAGGGCATGTACAGAGGGTAAACAGTGAAAAGAAATTGGCTGCTTATCTTGGATTCCAGAGCTCCTCAAAACAAACTCAAAGTCATGAGACTTGGTCAGGCGGTGCATAATATGACCCCAGAAATGAATATGAAAAAATAAAAGCAAGGAAAGGAAGTTTCAAAATTTGTGAAAAATATTTTTTTTCAAAAGCTTTGATATTCATTTTGGGGGAGTGGAAGTGCTGAGAGTAAGAAAGAATGGAACATGGTAAGAATGATTAAAAATTAAAAAAAAAAATGGAACCAAAAGAGGTTTAGCCAGGTTTGGGTTGGTTGCGCAGATTGGAGACAAAGGAATAAATTCTAGTACTTGACTGCAACGTGGGCTAGTGAATGCACCACTCAACACCTGTTTGAAGCCATCTGGGAACCGGTTTTTCCAAAATTTTCATTTATAATCATTCTTCTCATGTCCCAACCATTCTTTCTCCCAGCACTCTCAGGCTACAATTATAAACAGGTTTTTGAGATTTTTTTCAAAACGTTTTGAAACCATCTTGAAATTTGTTTCTTTTACTTTTTTAGTAAATTGATAGCTCAATCAGTTTTCAAAACTGATTTGATAATGATGTGTAATCATAAACCCAAGGCTCTGATGTAGCCCACAAACCCCTGGTGGTTCTGACGTTTGCAGACTTCTCTGCTCAGGAATCTAACCGACGGACTGGGGAAAGGGGCAACATCCGAGCCGGAAAGCTGAATTTGAGGTAGGACAGGAGAGTGCCGCTATCGGCCGCTATGCAAGGGTGGTGATTGGTGTTTCAGCACAAGGGTTCTGTAGAATTTATCCTAGTACACAGACCCGTACACAGACCTCTTGGCCGTTGCAAAAGATGAAAAATGTTCAAAATTTTAAAAAAATCAAACTCAAATCGACCCTCCAAGCCGATTTGAGATCTTATTGAGAAAAAACATAAGAAGTAACTTTTGAGATCGAGTTCAAAACAAACTCAAAAGATTCTCAAAAAAAACTCAAAAAGCTGTTTATAATTACAGCCTCAATCCCCCAAAATGAATTCCAAAGCTTTTGAGAAAAATAGATTTCATTTTTCATTCTTCACAAATTTTGGAACTATGTTTTGTGTTTTTATTTTTCTTGTATTCATTTTTAAGACCTATTCTGCACCAAGTCTCATGACTTCAAGTTTTGTTGAGGAGCTCTGGAATCCAAAATAAGCAGCCACTTTTCACTATCTACCCACTGTACCATAGCACCCCAGCCAATTTTCATTTTCTTTTTTGCCAACCAAAGTTCATTTTGGGGTTGACACTGAAAATCCAGCTTCTGTACTGTGTGAAACTGGGGGTGCATGGTACACCAGTTTGGGCAGGGTCAATTTGCAACTTAATTTCTGAATTTTGGATATGTCAAGGCTGGATAAAGCTGTGTTGCAAGCTCAGTCTCTTCCACCAAAATAAATGCATACCTTTGTTGATGGGTTGTTAAGGAGACCTGAAAACCAACTCAAGAGGAGAGGAAATGAAAGGCATCAGGTGGAAGCCATTTATTTGAACAACACTCTCAAAACTCAAGAAAATCAAAGTAGCTGCATTGGTACCAGATGGAAAGTGGCTCAACAATTGAATTGCAAATGAGGAGATCACACCCCTTGCTTTCCTCTACAAAAGGAATGTTTTCAACTTCTTGCAATTTGGATTGATCTGCAATCATTCAGGCACTGGCTGAAAGTTGAAACCATCCCTCCACTTTCCCAATGTCACAGATGTCCCAAGTTCCAACCACAATGCTTGGTTCCTTTGTTCTTTTTCTTATTCTGAGAGACTTGCCAAAGACTTGCCAAGGTTAGATCTACATTCACATTGCAGTCTTCTTCTCTTATTTATTTTCTTTGGATTCAACCCATTGTTTTGTATTTCTGTGATTGTACACCCTTTTCTCTCAACTGAGATCCATTGACGGTATGGACCAAAAGATAAAATTTTCAAGGATTACCTGTCTCAGTCTGTCATAGCATTGAAAGTGGCCATCGACAAAAAGCCAGTTTGTCGTGTAAAGTTGAACACTTTGAACAACATATGTACCACCCTTGTTGTCAATTCATGAGAAGAAGATAGAAAAGGGTAGCAAAATTGAAACTCACAGTACGGGCCCCAAGTAGCAACTGTAACAAAGTTCCTGATCCATTTGTGGAGTCTCATTGACACTGCACCACAAGGACCCTCCTCCATATTCTGTGCAAGAGGTGCAACTTGTCAATTTAAAGATGCTTGACCAATTCCAACTATCCTTACACTGCACAGATGGTGATCAACTGGACCCAACTTTCAGATCATGGTCTTGAAAATATGACTAGACAAATTCATGAGGCCTTATGTGAAAGGAGTGCTCCTCTGTGATCAGCAATTGACCGGCGCGGGTCGGAAGACTTCGAGAGAACAACTCCCAGCGGGAAAAGATCGCTGGGTTCCCAAGATGATTATTGTGCCAGAGACTGTAACAAAGCAGAGAAAACAGGGAACCGATGGGGTGACCCCGGTAGTTCCGTGGATGGGTGTATGAATGTATTTATGTATCAGTTAGCATGAGCTTGCTTCCGAGAGCGAGGTAAAACCCCAAGACGAGTCCCGAGGCCGGCCTGTTTGTGGTCAGAGTCGCTTCATTGAAACCGACACATAAATCAGCTGTATCATAGTCATGTAGGGTAGCTTCACTCTACTCTCACCCGCTCACGAACGCAAGAGAAAGTGTATTTGACCGGAGTGAGGGCGCTGAAACAATGAGCTCACCGTCTCAGATGGCTTCCTGAGCGAGCCGACTGAGACCTCATCTGTTACATCCGATGCCTTACGGAATGAACGGGGTTTTTTGGGCCCAGGTTTTGGGAACCCTTGCGGTCTAGCCTGCGTTGACTCCTAGCAAGTAACAGCACGTTATAATTTTTGCTCGGGATAAACATATCCACGAAAATCTCTTACATAGTCGCTCGTTAATTTCTCATTACCGTACTCTCATCTGACTTGCCCTTTCCAGAAGCCTCTAAAACAAGGAAGTCAACTCGACACTTTTGTTTGTTTGTTCCTAACCTACCTTCCGAATCTCCTACCGAGCCCGGTTGGACCAACCGGCGAGACGAAAAGAAGCGGATAATGAGCACCCAAATCCCACTTTCGAGTTGCATTGACGGCCCCATAAATCCCAAGTTATGGGAAAGCCTTGGGATGGACCATTATCTGAGAAACTACCCTGGTGGACAAAATATGACCTTGGAGGTATGTTCGATGCCGTGCTTACCGCGTCTTCCCTGTGCACCAATCATTCACCACTCTTTGGCCCGATCCTCCTTCCTGTCGTGGCGGATATAAAGCAATACACCAGACACGTTCATGCGGCAAACTTCATTTGCGGGATTGGACGACATTGTTTAGCAGGCCAGGTAAGGATCCGAAGAATCTCGTAAATGTCCTCAAACGGCTCTATGTTGACTGTTTCGGTCAACCGATGTGCACCAGTGGCCAAGCTGGATTGGCTAGTAATGGTTCTCGGTTACAACCAATGGAATTTCTACATGAATTCGCTCTACGAAGCACGTCCATAGAGGCTATTTGCGATGGTCCGAGGTTAAGTTGGTAGTTTCTAAAGGATTTTTTAAAATGAATCCTTTTTTATAATAGCGCGGCGGATCGGATG